CAGTTGTTTGCTTTTCCTGTTGTTTCTGTGGTGAGCTCCAACATTGAGAGTATCCCCTTAGCATGCTCTGTGAGGCATACTGGCAACAATTGAGCCCACTCGCGGAAGCAGGCCTAGGCAGCGTATACTGGTGTGGTTCAAGGGTCCACGGTACAAGCAGAAGTGGGCCTGCTCACCCTATCGCTGTTTATCCGGAGAGGCACATCGCACTGCTTCCCTGAGCCTCAGTTTCCTCATCTGCAAAGTAGGAATCATACAAGCAAGTTCCTTGAGGTGTTGTGAGGGTTCAATGCGATAGCTCCTGCAAAGTGGTAAGCCCAGGGCTGGCACATGGTAAGTGCTCAAGAAGCTAGTTCTTACCCTAGACGGTGTCAGTTCTGTGGTTTTCAGCTGAAAGAAGATTCTTCCATCATGTTGGTAATCAGGTTTTTGTTTTTTTGTTTTAAAACATCTAGACTTGTGACAGGGGCAAATAGATCATTATTGTAGCCAAGGCAGAATAAATGCTGGGATAAGCAATCTCTGGCACTTTGATCTTACAGTATCACCTTCCTGACATCTTTTTTTCTGTACACATGGTCGCCAATGACATTGCCTCCTCGTGAAGCTGAGAGTCACGCAGGCTGCACTTGTCCTGTAGAAGCCCATCAAGCCCGAGTACTGTGGTCTATTCAGTGAAACCAACCATGGCGCTCCTCCTTGTCATGTTTTCTTACAACTCGTCCTTTCACCATTTGGTCTAACATTTTCACATCAATAGAAGATGTTTGCATGCCTCAAACATTTTCTCCTCTCAGTCTCTGTCTTAAAAAAAACATAACCTTCCCAACAGGGCTGATTTATAATGTTTATCAGTGTCTTTCTCCCTCACGGTATATCAGTCAGGAATCTGGCTAGAAACAGATGGCTCACTCAAAGGTTCTCACTGAGGAGAGTTTAATGGAGGGACTGTCTATGGCGGTGCTGATGAGGTTAGGGGACCCTCGAGGGATGGGGAAGAGCCAGGGACTAGCAACAGTAGAAAGCTGTTAATCTCAGCTTTAAAGTGTTCAACTGAAGGGGCGAGGAAAAGGGGTGGTGTTTTCTAAGTCCATCGAGAATTGGAGCTGGGAAGGGGGCGAGGGCAGTTAGAGGAGTGCTGAACCTCTCTCCCCTCCTGCTCTCAGCGCCTCCTGCCTGTTGTCTCCTTGTAGCCACACTCAAAGGGAAGCCGGAAACAGGCCAGCCAGGGAGGTCGATCTCCTGGGTCAAGATATCAGGAGAAAGAAAGGGCGAACCCGATGTTTGAGAACATGAGACCAACCAGTGTACCTGCCCCATATTTTAAAAATCATTTTATTGGGGGCTCGTACAACTCTTATCACAATCCATCCATCCATCGTGGCAAGCACATTTGTATATTTGTTGCCATCATCATTTTCAAAATATTTTCTTTCTACTTGTGCCCTTGGCATCAGCTCCTCATTTTCCCCCTCGTTCCCCCACCCTCTCTACCACATGAACCCTTGATAATTTCTGAATTATTATTATTTTTTCATGTCTTACACTGTCTGATGTCTCCCTTCACCCACTTTGCTATTGTCCGTCTCCCAGGAAGGGGATTATATGTAGATCATTGTGATCAGTTCACCCTTTCTCCCCCATATTCCCCTCCCCCTCCTGGTATCGCTACTCTCAATATTGGTCCCAAGGGGTTTATCAGTCCTGGATTCCCTGTGTTTCCAGCTCTTATCTGTACCCGTGTATATGTTCTGGTGTAGCCGGATTTGTAGAATTGGGGTCATGCTAGTGGGGGGAGGAAGCATTAAAGAACTAGAGCAGTGGTTCTCAACCTTCCTAATGCTGAGACCCTTTAATACAGCTCCTCATGTTGTGGTGACCCCCCCAACCATAAAATTATTTTCATTGCTACTTCATAACTGTAATTTTACTACTGTTATGAATCAGGCGACCCCTATGAAAGGGTCATTCAACCCCCAAAGGGGTTGCAACCCAAAGGCTGAGAACTGCTAAACTAGAGGAAAGTTGTATGTTTCAATGGTGCTATACTGCACCCTGACTGGCTCGTCATTTCCTTGTGACCTTTCTGTAAAGGGATGTCCAATTGCCTACAGATGGGCTTTGGGTTTCCACTCACACTACCCCCTCATTCACAATGATAAGACTTTTTGTTCTTTGATGCCTGATACCCGATCCTATTGACAACTCGTGATCACATAGGCTGGTGTGCTTTATCCATGTAGGCTTGGTTGCTTCTCAGCTAGATGGCTGCTTGTTTACCTTCAAGCCTTTAAGACCCCAGAAGCTATATCTTTTGATAGCTGGGCACCTTCAGATTTGTTCACCATATTTGCTTATGCACCCACTTTGTCTTTAGTGATTGTGTCGGGATGGTGAGCATCACGGAATGCCAGGTTATTAGAACAAAGTGTTCTTGTGTTGAGGGAGTACTTGGGTAGACCTGCCCCATCTTCACACATACAACATGCACATTACATGTGTCTCCCAACTGCTTGACACACCCAGACCCCCGTGTATTACTGTTGTAAGCAGTAAGTTGTAAGTTTTATGTGTTGGTTCATTATAGGCATGAAGAAAGGTATGCTTTCCCTTCTCCATTTCCTCTGCCCTTTTCCTCATGTTCCTACTTTCTGAGAAGAAACACAGAGCAAGCCTAAATGAGAACTCTCTTAACTTCCATGTACCCTGCTGGCCATTTGCTATTCTTGGATGGAGAAAGACCGTGAGCCCTGTGAAAGCAAGGGGTGACCAACATCTGCTTTGTTTGCTGCCATTTCCCTTGTGTCTAGAACATGCACATGGTAAGCGCTCGAGAGGAAGTAAATGTCTAGAAAATGATGATGGCAACGTATGTACAAAAATGCTTGATACAATAGATGTATGAATTGTTATAAGAGCTCCCAATAAAATGATCTTTAAATTAAAAAGAAAAGAAAATCTTGGGGAGGGGGGGCGAAGAATGTGCTCCCCTCCAATGTGCCAGGCACTGTATACACATTTCTCCTGGAACGAGCCCAACAACTAAGGAAACAGAGAGGACTGGCTGGTTATACAGGTGGTAACAGGGCTAGCAGGTGTCAAAACCTTCTTCACCCACCTGCAGGCTCGGCACCTGACCGAGAGCACTGCCAGCCTCCAGGAAGGGCTCATTTTTATAATTATTCACCTTGTTATATCCTAGCCACTTTCCCCCTGGGTTTTGTTACTGTTCCTCTTTTGGGGGAGCGAAAGCAGCGGGGGCCGGGAGCATCCCCAGCCTGTGCGTTCTCGAGGGCCCAGGGGCAGGGAAGCAGACCCTGGCTCCTATGCAGCTGAGACACTCCCCCTGGCAGCAGCACATGCTCACTTTTGGGCCTCCTCGTGCTTTTCGGGAAATATCAGCCCCCTTTTCCTGGGTCTGGATCTGGGTTCTCAACAGCACAGAGGGGTGGGGAGTGGCGAGGAAACTCTGAAGCCAGGCTGTGGCCCAGAATGGTTTGTGCTAACGGCACCTGCACAGTTACTCAACAAGGAAGAAAGGTTCAGAAACAACCCAAGACAATACTAAGGCATCCTCTGTACTTGAATTGGAGGATGGATGAAAGTGTTCGTTGAATAAGTTCCTTGCCTGGGTACTGATGGGTACAGATCTATGTTTGATCTGATGTCATGTTATTTGGCCTCTGATTCCTTCAGTCCGTTAGCTTTGCAGCAGAGCTCTGAGGACTGTAGGGATTTCATTTCCACCTGGGCCAGGGAGCCCTAGTGCCACAGTGGTTGCAAATGGAGCTGCTAACTACAAGGTTAGCAGTTTGACATCACCAGCTGCTCCGAGGGAGAAAGAAGAGGCTTTCTATTCCAGTAAAGAGTTATCCACAGGGGCAGTTCTATCCTGCCCTATAGAGTCACTGAAAGCCGGAATCCATTTTCTGGCTGTAAGTTTGGTTTTCTTGGTTTAGCCAGGAAAGCCTATCTAGCACCTACGCATGAGATACCATCAGTTACAATTCTGTGGACAGACAGCACTAGTGGTAAAAAGCAACACAAAAGCCAAGGCAAACCAAACAACCGAGAGGCATCCCTTCAGTTTTGCTTCCTAGCAGAATAGTGGAGGTGAGAGGCCTACCGGAAGCTATGAAGGATGCTCGTCTCCCAGGCTCAGCATTCTTCAGTCCCAGGGCCATCTGTACAGCCCCACCCTATTGCCTGCCTCGTGCCTTGTAGGGGAACCTTGCCAGTGTAACAAACAGCAAAGGATTTTGGTTTTAAATCTATAGTTACTTTGCATACATGGCATCTAAGTAATTCACTTTTGTGGCTAAGCAAAATAATAAACGCCACAGGATTTTTAACAATTCTTGATAAGTACTAGATATATCCATATTCCATAAGTATTTTCCTGGTGGTATTGTATCTCCTACCCAGTCTTATTTCTGCCCCTTCCACAGCCTGACTCTGGAAGAATGGCCTGGAGGCCAGAGCCTCAAGCGGTGCTCCTTGACCCCAGGAGTAACAAGGAGGCCACAGCATGGAACACAGAAGCAGGGAGACATGGGCCAGTAGAGCTGGCCCCACAGGTAGCCAGGGTGCACTGAAATGACAAGCTGCAGGGCAGTTCACGCAGAGCAGCATGGCGGGGGAGGGGGCAGGGTAGGGTGTGTGTGTGCGTGCGTGTGTGCATGTGCGCATGTGCGCGTTCGCGGTGATGAGCTCTGACAGGGAGAAATGCAGATGACCAAGCAAGACTGCACCCGGCCCTGGCAGGTGTGCATCGTCACCTGCCGAGGAGGGCACGGCGCTGGCCCAGGGCATGCACTGCAGGCTGTGAGCACCCAGAACTGAGTCTAGTGACCTCACTGCACGCAGGGGCCACTACCATCTTGCACTTCTTCTGCTTTGACAATCTTTGTGTGCGTGAGAGTGCGCAGGCACACTCACGTACAGCATTACGCAAGGTGAACGAAGCAGCCTTGCTTTCACTGGAGGCAAAATGTACTCACAGTAGTTTCCAAGTAAATGGTGTCACTCTTCAGGTAACACACTCCACAGTTTGGGCCTAGTGCAGGTGTTCATTGGGGCAGGCAACAGAGAGCGGCTGCATCTAGATCAGACAGAAAATCAGAAACACAGCTGTTAGGCAAGTCGGTGAAGGGGGGCATGTGCTTTGCTCAGGCCGGGGCTGTAGGATTTGGTTAAGAGGCTGGCCTCTCCTCTGTGCTCTGGGGGGCAGCTAGTCTGGAAAGGGAGGGGCCAGGGAAGTCACCCAGGCTCCATTCTCAGGGTTTCTGCTTGACTTTGGGGATGGCCCAAGATGCCCGCGGGCAGCCCCCTGCTGGTGCAGACCGAGTTGGGGTTCAGGGTGGTAGGGTGAGGGCATGTCCTCCCACCTTGCTAGAGGCCACTCTTTAGCCCGTGTGTTTGATTCCACTTCAGCCCTTCCCTCTTTCTTGCCTCTTCCCCGTCCACTTCTCACCTATTCTAAAATACCCACTGGCCTGGCCATAGTCCTGAGCTTCTGCCTGTCTGCTTGTCTCTCCTCCCATGTCCTCTGACCCTGGAAAGTAGTGTTCTTTGCCCAGGCCTCGCCCCTTGGCTATCTCATTGGTCCCGGTGACCACTTCATTCCCCGCCCTTGGCATCTGTTACGCAGTGTTTCTCTGATTCCCCGCCAGCTCTCCTTCTGCTCATCTGCCTTTTCCACGGGGTTGTCTTCCTCCCACTGCTCTCTAAACAGACACTCCTCAATCTCCTCTCCGCAGGCTCTGCCCACAGCCACCCTTCTCCACAGAGAACACCCACATGGGGCTTGGTAGTTCTTGCTCGTCAGCAGAGCTCCAGTCCCTACACTCTACTTAACGGCCGGTTATTCATTCACTCGTCTGTTTGTTTGTTTGTTCATTCGGTATTCACACAGCATCTATTCGGAACAACAACAGGATCTCTAACTCTGAAGAATTCATACCTCCATCAAGACTTCAGCCATGCTCTAATGCTAATGCCATTGAGTGGGTCCTGACAGAGAAACCCACGAGGGCACAGCAGAGCTGCCCCAGGGGGTTGCTAAGGCTGTACATCGCAACAGAGCAGACTGCCGTATCGTCCTCCCACAGAGTGGTTGCTGGGTTTGGGCCGCCTGTCATTTAGTTACTACACTTGATCTTAGCCAAAGGCTGAGAAACCACCTATTGGCTAGGGAAGGCCCAAGAAGAATCGGTGTTTTTGAATTAGGGTGCTGCTGAAGAATATCGAAAGGACCATGGACGGCCACACACACCTGCCTTGGAAGAAGTGCAGGCAGAATGCTCCTTAGAGGCAAGGATGGTGAGACTTCCTCTCATGTGCTTTGGGCAGGAGAGACCAGTCTCTGGAGAAGGACATCATCTTTGGTAAATTAGAGGGGCAGCAAAACAGAGGTTGGCGCTTGACAAGATTGATGGACACGGGAGCTTCTGTAATGGGCTCAAGCACAGGAATGATTGTGCAGGTGATGCACACCTTAAAGAAGACATGGGTATTTCTAATTCAGCAGGTGTTTTATTATTACTTCTTTAGTCATAGCCTTCCCCTCAAAATCTGTTCCTTTCCCCTTCCTTCCTTGGTACCACTTTATCCAGTTAGCTGGTCTCTCCCTTGTTTCATTTTTCATATCCAATCACCTGCTGAGTCCTATGGCTGATGAGTAACTCTGGCTGTGTTTCATAAATCAGTATCTACTTCCTATCCCGATATCCTACCACTCAGTGGGTTGTACTGTGATACACCTCTAACATTTTTTTGCTATTGAAAATCCTATCAACACCTGTTGACCATTGCCTGATTGGATTATGCAGGTTTGCTCCAAAAGACCTGAGTGTTGCAAGGCAGACATGCCACTTGGAGGACGAAGGTGCACCGCTCTCCAGGGATTATTATGATTTGTCAATGCATGAGAAAACTAGACTGTGACTAATGAATACCAAAGAATAATTGCTGCATTTGAATTACAGTGTTAGTGAAAAATATTGACTATCCCCTGTACTGCCAGAAGAATAAATAAACCTGATTTTGGAGGACGTAAAGCTCCTTAGAAGTAAGGGTGGGGAGGCTTTGTCTCTTGTGCTTTAATGTTACAGGAAAGACCGGTTCCTGGAGAAAGACATCATGCTCGCTGAGGTGGAGGGTCGGGGATTAAAAAGTAGACCGTCGAAAAAAAAAAAAAAGGTAGAGTGTCACTGAGAGCAGCTGACACAGGGGCAGTCACAATGGACTCAAACGTAACAAAGATGGCACAGGAATGGGCAGTGGTTTGTTCAGTTGTACGTAGGGTTGCTGAATCTGAGGCACGTCGATGCCACCTAATAGCAACAACAGCAGTGGCAACTGCAGCATCCTCGAATCCATCGAGTGTTCCCTGTCCACTGCCGGGGCTGCGTGAGAGCCTCCGCACAGGCTTCCCTGACTCCAGTTCCTCTCGCCCTCTAGCCCCTCCTGCACACTGATCCGACATTCATCACTCCTTGGTTAAAATCCTCTCTGGTTACTTGATTAATTTAAAAAATTTCAGCGTGGCCATCAAGGGCCGGAGAAGAGCACCCAATCTAACTGTCTATACTTATCTTCCCAGTTGATTCTATACTCCAATAGGACCCACTCTTTACCCTCGCCATCATGGTGCAGAGTGACTGTTTTGAGTGTGGACAGGCTAAGATTCTATAGCCTTAAAACATATTTAGTATCGCAAACTGCCACTGAGTGGATTCCAGCTCGTTGTGACACTAGAAAACAGGTTAGAACCGCCCCTTTGGGTTGCTAAGACTTGAAACCTTTATAGGGTTAGCCTCATCTTTCTCCCACAGAGCGGCTGGTGGACTGGTCTTACTTACAGGCCTTGTGGTTAGCAGCACAGTGCATGGCCCATCATGTGGTAAGGACATACAGAGAGCCTGTGACTTGTTCAAGGACTGAAAGCACTAGGCTCCTAACTGAGCAATTGTAGGTTGGAGCTTACCCAGAGGTTTCTTGGAAAAGAGGCCTGGAGATGTGCTTCTAAAGAAAAAACCCCTGCCCTTCAACTCTCTATCCAGCATCGTTCCTCTCTGAGGCCTATGGGGTTGCTATGAGCTAGACTTAATGACAACTGGTTTTTGTTGTTCCAACCCACTTTGGATGTCTCCTCCGGTGAAAGGACTTGCACTCTTCATGTTGTATCACCACTATCTGTTTCCAAACGGTTCCGTAGTCGTTAGGAAGATTCACTGGCCACGAGTGAATCATTCCCCCCATCCAGGTGCCCTTTCTCTCACCCATGTGCTGCACGGCTCTCTTTGCACAGCCCAGCCAGACACTCCAATCATGATGATGCAGCCACTCTTCCTGCCCTGTCAGCTCGTCCAAGCTGGGGACAAGTTTGACTTGTGTATCTGGACTGTACAGGGCTGTGCACGGGCCTTGTGCTCAGCTGACGCCTGCTGAACTGATTTCAAACAGTCTAAACTATCTTGCTTCGAGTCATGAAAAGCAAGATGGAATTGTGGTGATCTTGAAGTTCACCTGACTCTAAGCCTCTGAGTTATTTTAGGTAAATAGGTTAAGGGAACTGGCTTATTAGTTCTATGTCCTTGTTAGTGGCTAGACCAGGATCGCCAATATATAAAAGGACTCATGTCTCTAAACGTGCATATCAGTGCTTGCTTAGCACCAGCCGGCACACATCAGCAGTGATCAGTTGGAAGACAGTGAGAGGTTGAGGTATGCAGCCTGAAAGCTTGCTTTTTCTGAACACCCAGAGCGTGCGAAGTGAACTTATTGTTTACAATGAGGTGGGTTTCTAGAATAAGGAAACAAACTTTTTTGAGATTACTAACCAAGCTAATTCTAACAATGCTGACAGTTTAACTAGAGTGATACATTCCTACTGAACACCAGGAAGGAGGCGGTTCTCATGCTTTGGAAAAGCAGTGGGCTCAATTAATAGTGCTCCGTGAGAACAAGCTACAGGGATTCTATGGTTATAGGCACAGCCTTGTAGGATCATGGAGTCTCTGAGAGGCACACAGGGTTAGGTACTTTATTATCAATGGATCAAAACCACTCAGTGTCACCTTGGAAGCAAGGCCTGGTGACCTCCTTCACAAAGATCACACCACTGACAATCCCACGGAGCAGCTCTGCTCCACACGCGATGTTGCTTACATGCCCACATCCACTTGACAGGGGCCCGACCACCGGTATTCCCACCTGGCAGTGTTCAGATTTCTCTTCTACATTTGCTTACATGTTGACTCATTTTTCTTAGCGTATCTTACTAATGTACTTGAAGAAACACTTAGAGGACTGCCCCTAAGTCTGTTCCCATTTGATTCCCTTGTTCTCCTCTTATGGCAGAAGCGACAATAATTGTTTAATCTCCTCTCCATCCTCAGACAGGATCCTTTTAGCTCACCTGAAGAGGAAAAGGTCAAGAAAACATGTCTCCGGGAGGACACTGTTTGCCTAGGTGGGGAAAGCAGGGTTTTTCCCCCAGGGGGTCTCAGACGTTCTCAGTTGGCCGGGAAAAGCTCAGTGTCAATGTTACCCAGCAGGCCTGCAAGACCCGGTCTGCCTTCCTCAGGTGAGCACTTGGCTCGTTGTGACTCACCAGAGGAACAACTTGTGTGCTTAAGCAAACTCTTTTTTGGCCTGTGGGGTGGTGCCCTGTCTGGAGCCTCTGCAGCCACCTCAACAGCACATTGGGCTCCAGAGCCCTTCATTGTTCTTCCTGAAGCATCATCCGGCTGGACAGGCTATCAACAACACTTCGCCAGACAGAGCTGCCTCCTCTCCTTTCCCCTGGCCACTACATTAAGATGATAAAGGAAATCACTGATCGATATGTCTGGAACGATGCAATGAAAAATCACCTGGAAGCATACAAAGCCATTGTGTAATCCGATAAGCGTGCATTTGAAACATACCTAACTGTTGGTTCAAAGCGCACGTTTTATAATTAAATAGGAACACAATCTTCTCGTCCTTCGATCAAATCCTTCTTTCTCAGTCCCACATCCTGCTGCTCTCAGCGGCCTTTGATTTGCCGGCAAATTGTCACCTCGTCCCTTCCTTTATTTCCCGTCCCGCCTTAGC